CCTATCTTGCTGTTATGTTATGATTTCCTCATTGTGTTAATATACTGATGATGTGAGGACCCTTAGGATCAAATCACTTTCCAAAATTCCTTCCTCTGAATACATGAGACTTTTGAAGTTTATTGTAGATCTAAACCATGACTTAGCTCAGTGGTGCCACTGCCTGCCTGCAAACACAAGGTCCAGTTCAATCCCCGGTTTAAAAGAGAAAAAGAATCTGAAATAATCTATTTCTCCCAAAAGGTGTTAACGTATGGCTTACATCTATCATTTTAACAAAAATTTCAAATGTTATTCAAACACTACTAAAGACAATATAATGATTTGGATAATTCCACAGAAAGGGCTTTTCTTGAGGGTGTAGTGGGATTTATTTTGATTTCTCACTAGTAAAAATGAGGGGCAAGGAGGCTTCATACAGTTATTTCCCACATGGGAAGAGTGACAACAGGAACTTTTGGCAGCTTTAGAGGATTCTCTGTCTCTCTTTGAACTGATGGACCTCATGGTTTTATAAAAATCTATGGTTTGAGGAGGTGAAAAGCTTTTCAAGTGCACAAATGCTTTATGTGCACCCTCAATATCAAAAACACGAGGGCAGAAGTGGCAGGTAGAAGTGGGGGTCCGATGGCCCACAGCTGAGCTGACTCAGATTTCTCCTCCCACATGGCCCGGGGGAGCTGGAAATCTCCAGGGCTGCATGGAGCACACTGTGGGAGCTCAGCAGCTGACAAATAGCTCTGAAGACCCAGCCAGCACCATAAGGCCTAAGGGGTTTACAGTGGACTCAGTCATTTCCCTTCCTAAATCCCACTCTGACTCAGAAGGTAGCCAACACCATCACCACCACCAGAACCCCAACAAATAATAATAGAAACTGCCCCTTTATTTGCAGTACCTCTTTTAGGGTCACTAACCTCTGTCCCCCCTTCCTATGTCCATGTCTTCTCATCTCATGGGTCTCTAAATATGTCCCAGACAAACCTTACTGGCTTGTGTGAGTGTGGGTTGTGTGTTTTTCCCAACTAATACAGCCTCCTTCTCGGATCCCCCCCCACCTTTTTGTACCCGGGATCGAACTCAGGACCTTGCGCTTGTGAGGCAGGCACAGTGCCACTGAGCTAAATCCCCAGCCTTTGCCCCTCCTTTCCAATTTCTGATTCATCATGTTCATGACCTGATTTTGAAAGGATAAATGAAATGAGCTAATGGCTCAAAGAGGCCCTGATTTCCATGTGCAGATCCTCATCTGCCCAAGCCGTTGATCTGGAAGACACTTTGCTCCATGCCCCATGGTGATGGAGGCTGCTGAGAGCACTCAGCCCTTACTGTCTCTGCTCCATCCCAGCTTGGGCTCCTAGCCAAGAGCAGTTTTATGACAGCCCCTGCGGTACATGCTGTACATCTCTGTGGCCAGAACACACTCTCAGAAACAGGAGCTTGGGCAGGAGAGCAAATACACCTGTGTGAGAGCCTGGGGAAGTTTTTCCCATGTCAGTCTCTCTGGTGGGCAAACTGACCTGGGCTTTCCTGGCCAATAAACTTTTTTTTTGTTTGTTTAAGTTAGGAAGCGCTTGAAATTGCTTCCAACAGGCTGCAGGGATGCATATCACTAATGCAGCTCTGTTTCCTGGGGAGGGGGAGGCCCCTCAGCCTCCTGCAGGACATGGGCCCCACTGTTCAGCCCTGTTGAAGTAGCGTGATTCACTAGGAATGACTCAAGAATTTAGTAAAACCCATCCAGAGGACATTCTGACAGACATGCTGGTGCATGGCTGTGATCCTAGAGTTTGGGAGGCTGAGGCAGGAGAATTATGCCCTGAAAGCCAGGCTGCACTGCACAGTGAGTTCAAGGCCAACCTGGTCAACAAAGCAAGACCATCTCAAAAAAAAAAGTTAAACAAATGACAAAAGCCTGCATTTCATCATCTGATGCATGGAGCCTATTGAAAACACCCCCATTCCCACTATATAGAGGCAACATATTAAACAGGCTGTGCACTACTGCACTGCCTATGTATTTAAATTTTGGATTTGTTGTTGAGCAGTTTTAGGCTTATAGAAAAATCGGTGGGCAGCACTGAGAGTTCCTCTCGACCCTCTTTGCTCCGATCACGCCTTCCTGTACTGCTACCGCCCTGCACTGTACCGAGAAGTTGCTACAACACTGACAGAGTACTGCTAACTGGGGTCCACAGCTTACACTAGGGCTTGATGTGCACTGCGTGGGACAGACAGTGACCTGTGCAGTGTGCCAGTGCCACACAGAGCAGTTTCTCCATCCTGAAACTCCCTGCATGCCCTGGGCCCATCCCTTCTAACCTCCCTGAAGCCCTGGAGACCCCTGGCGTTTCACCCTCTCTGTAGTTTTCCTTTCCCAGAATGTCCTGCATTGAAAATGAAGAGCAGCAGCCTTGTCATGGTAGCATCTTCTCTTATCGACGTGCATGTAACAGATGGAGATTTAAATGAGAACGTGCGACCACAAATCCCACTGAAGAAGCAAGAAAATACCACCCGCTGCAATTTCAGTCACTGTGAGGACCTACAGCTGGTGATTAGCAGTCTACATGTCCATCCACAGATGAATGGATAAAGAAACTGTGCTGTTTATACACCATGAAGCACTACTCTGCCATAGAGAAGGATAAACTTGAGTCATTTGTAGAAAACAATGCACCATGAGATCAGAATGAGTGAACCAAGTCAAACACACAAGCTGAATTATAGCATGGTTTCTCTGATGTGAGAAACCCAAAGTGTAAGTAAATCAAAGAACGAAATAAAAGGTAGACATGGGAAGCTGGGATCTGCAAATGGGAAAGATGGAGAGATGGGGAAGGGAGGAGTAGACGGAGAAAGAGGAAGTAAAAGAATCACGATGTGTGCCATGCACATGTGTCACCTACCCACGGTGAACGCATTCGCTATGCACCGCAAACCTGGACTAATAAAAGCAAAAGGACCAGTGCTAGCTCTGCAAACCCGTGCTTTCCAATGAATGCTATGCCGAAGTCAGTGATTTTCCCAGTTGTTCCTACCCTGTTATTTTAATGCTGACTGTGATTTTCCCACGTGAAAGGTGACAGAGGCCACAGCCTGTTCACTGTGTGAGGACTGGGAGCTTCAGGGGAGGTCCCTCCCGGTGCTCTCTGTTGGGACAGAGCCTCAGTAACTCCAAATAGACGATGAGCTTGGACAGCAGCGGGGTGGGCTGAAAAGATGAGAGCTGGGTACCGGGCATATCTCCCGCACATGGCCAGTGCTCTATAAATGTTCTGGCAGGGCGGACTTCCGGTGCTCTGTAAATGCTCCTACAGGGCGGACTTCCGGCGCTCAGTAAATGCTCCTGACAGGACAGACTTCTGCCCCCCGAAGGTTGGTGTGCTCAGGTAGAGTGTGAGGAGCAAGGGACAGCAGGAGATCGAGGCAGAGGCTCTGCTGTGAAGGCACCAGCAGGTTCAGAACCTGAGCTTCTTGTTTGTTTTTAGGACATTGGGCACGAACCCCAACACTTTACAAATTTGGTTTTATTTTGAGACAGGGTCTCACTAAGTCTCTGAGTTGCTTAGGCTGACCTTGAATTTAAAATTTTCCTGCCTCAGCCTCCCAGAGTGCTGGGATTATAGGTCTGTGCAGCCTGGCTAGGAGCCTAGTTTTGCTAGTTACTATATGGCCTGGAAAGTTACATGCTCCTTCTCTAAGTTTGGATCTCTCCACATAGATGACGAGATTAAGCTCCTGTCTGCGTGGTCCTCTGCCGAGCAGACTCTCAGTCTCCTCCAAGGTGATGAATAATCTCCAGAGTGACACACTGAAGTCCCCGCTGGGGCCCGGGTAAGTCCTGGACACTTTCTACCTAGGAGCTATATGGGCACGACCCCTGGGGGCTCAGAGAGAGGGTGCCCTAGGGCACAGCTGCTCAGACTGGCATGAGAGGGTTGGGTCTAGGCGATGGGCTCCAGGGTGGCAGAGCTGGCAATGCGCCGAAGCCCTGAGGATTCCTGGCCCCTCTGGGAGCCACTGTCTGCCCTTGGACTCGCAGACATCAGTTGTACAGCCTGGGGTCAGGATCTTGGAAGTACTAAACTGGGGGTAATGCTGTCATTACTCCTTTGGTTGTTGAGATTTTGTCGTTTTATTCAGTGCTTGGCAAAGCACACTTCATCCACTAATAAATGTAAAAGAAATAATAGAGTGAGAAAACCCTTCTTAAATTCCAATATAAAAATGGACTCAGGCCATCATAAACAGTTGCTTAAACTATTAGGCGAATGTCCTGGGATGGTCTTGCAACATGGTCTTGTAGTGTGACACTGTCAGCCCCAGATGACTTATTTAGAAGAGGACAGACTATGCCTTTCTTACCGCATTATCTGAGTGGCCACCCTTTCTGGGTCCACCAAGGGACATGGCCTGGCCTCCTGTCCCCCCAAGAATTCAAAGAATGCTAAAATTATCCATCTTTTATTCAGAGGAAGGTAAATAGTGTTGCCTACAATGTGCTACTGCCAGAAATGTTCGACTTGGGCTTAACTACGAGGAAACAGGCAAATCCAAAACACGGGGTGCTCTGTAGGATTCTATGGTATAGATCAGCGCTGGAGGAGCACAAACCACAATGTCAGCCTGGACTGGAAGGAGAATCCAGCGATGAAGGACTTGGGGGCTGAGGAAACTGGTTGTGAACTGCAGGGTGACGCTGCTGCTGAACTAACCGTGAATTTTATTTCCCAAATGTGCCGCTGATGTTTCAGATACTCACAGGAGCGCACTCTTCCGGAGAGCTGGAGTGGGGGAGAACGCCCTGCTGTCTGCAGCCTAATTTTTGAATGGAATCGAAGAGGGAGTGTCTCGTGTGTGCGTGTGCGTGTGCGTGGAGGAGGTGAGAAGGGAAGAGGAGGACAACACGAGGGAGACTCCGTGTGGCATCGCATTGTGACATAATCGGAGACCGGGGAAGGGAGAGCCCGAGCCTGCGTGCTGGCCCGGTTGGGCTTAGATCCCGTTTTCTAAAGTTTGAGGTCATTTTCTTGTGCTTACAGGAGCCTCCGAACAGCGATGTACAGGTAAAGCAGGACCCTGCTCTTAGGAGAAAGAGAAGGGCGGAGAGGGCGCTGGCCCAGAGAGTTACAGCGAAGGGCACCAGACGCCTCATTGGATCGGTGGGGTTTTCTCGCCCAGGAATAAGATTTTCATACCTCTACGAAGAAAGTCTTCATGCTATGTAGAGGTTACAATGAACGGTTGCTTGCAAAAGCGAGCCTGCTACATGCCTGAGTTCCCATTGGTCCACTTCTAAGGCAAACTCCCCTGCTTGTAACTCATTGGTTGATCTCAGTTTGTCTGGGATATAGTCATTTTTCAGCATAAAACCCCTGAACAAAATCTCCTGGGAAACCCATTCCGGCCCCTCCTGGGTCCTCTCCCCAGGGCCTTTTTCTTTCACTTTATAATAAGTGCTGCTTTCTGCTTTTGCTCTATAGTAAGTACTTTTGCTCAGTTTTCTTTTGACTTTCTACCTCACAGTTTCTGGACTGAGAGAAGAACCCAGTTGTGGACCTCGAGTGGGAGAAGTGAGAGTCTAACCTCAGGCTGTTGTGCCCTCCTGCGTGTCCTCCCTTCTCCCCACAGTGGGGCCCAACTCTGTATTGACTCTGTGGTGAGTTTAGGGCAGAAAAGCGAGGTTTCTTTCCTTCCCACCATGGGGGAAAAACCTGATTTCTTATGATGAAAGGTAGACAAGAGCCTGGGCCCCACACCAGGTGTCGTGTCTCCTCCAAGGGCCATGAGGGTGAGAGTGGCTGTTGTGTCCCACAGAGCTCAGGCTGTCACACTGAGAGGAGGGTTCAGGCTTAGATCTGAAGTCCCACACATTGGGAGATTATTGGATTACACGGGCATAGTAGCTGACTTTGTTTGGGGAGATAAATCACTGTGAGGAAAATTTGCAACTTCTGCCACCTGGTTGAAGCCACCCAGTGAAATCTGTGTCCACATTCTCCTGGTTAAATTTAGGCCCTTTCCTTCCAGACCCATCACACCCCAAATTCCCAGAAGCCCAGAAATTGGCTTCACTGAGAAGGTAAAGAGCAGGAACCAGAACCTAAGATAAAAGAACAGGATGAGAGAATTCAAAGAATGCTAAAATTATCCATCTTTTAAAAACTGGCCTCATCCCTGTGATAGAGCCAGGCCCTTCTAGTGGGTTGTTCACCTTTTGCTGGGGTTTCTACTCCAAGAGCAGAAGAAATGTTCCCCATTCCAGGAAATAATGCTCCTCTTTCTCTTGGGGGTCTGTTCTATTTCTCCGTGTGTTTTAAAATTTCTGCCTTACAAAACCCTTCCGGCACCTCCTATGACTGGACCCGAAGATCCTCTTTCCACAAATCCTGTCTATGGGAAGAGCAGCCTCAGTTCCTTCTTCCAGCTTCAGGAAACTTCCCTGGCCACCTGGAGACAGCACCAAAGTGGTAATTGGAGAAGAGTAGCTCATCAGAGGATGATGTGCCCAGGGACGGGCACTGCGTGGAGAAGTCAGCAGGCCAAGTGCCCTGACACAAGCCAGCGGCGTGGGGCCCTGCTGCCCCCAAGCTGAGAGGAAGGGGAAATAGCTGCAGGAAGCCGGAAGCCCTGCGTTGCAGACCACCTAGCTTGGTGGGTACTGCTCTCCTCTGGCGGCCCCAGGAGAGGAGCCACAGGACATACGTGGTTCACGTTGACTGTCCTTGCTGAGCATCCCTTGCCTGTGCCATGGTGCCGACACTGGAGGCCCGGAGAGATGAGCCTCCCAGGACATGGAGCGGGCTCTCTCCTGCACCCTGAGGCCTGGATGAGGCAGGGAGACCCCCCTCCTTCCTTTGCACCTCATTTCCCAGAGGATAGCACTTTTCAAGCTTTTCATCATGACAGACATTACTGATTAGAGAAGCACTATGGCATTGTACCAGAGGCCTTCTTCAGAGCAGAGTAAATGAGTTGTAGGAGACCGAGGTCACTAGGCAGAGCAAGGAAGTCAGCAGTGATCCGCTAACTCTTCCTTCTGCTTTCTTCCCTCTCTGCCCCTCTCCCCCCATCCTGCTTTCCTTCTTTAATTTATTAGGGCAAACTGATCTTACAGAACAGTGGGTTCAATGTGACATCATACACCTGCATGCAACACACTTGACTGTACCTCTCCAACCCTCATGGAATCAGTCTCTGCTGACCACAGTGGACTCCCGCCCCCTCCATGGTGCTTGAGGAATCTTGCAAGGAAGATGGTCCATCAGGGCTGCCTGAATCAGGGGACAGCACAGCCAGGGTCTCCTCCTCTGTCTATGAGAAAGTCCCACTCCATCTACCCTCAGAACTGGGGTGGAATATGTTTTGGAAAAATCATAATGAACAAGAAAGGCTGAGAGAGCCCTGGGCAGACTGACTGAGGTATTTTACAGCAGCCAGAGAAAGGGGACTCATTTTTAGCCAAACTGCCAAATGTCCACAGGGAAAAGACCGAGCTGCAGACAGCAACAGGTTCTGCCAAGAATGACTAAGCAGGCAGTGAATGATGAAGGGGCCTACTGTGATTCACACAGCAGACTCCTGCCTTACACAATCCACAAGACATTTGGGCATCAAGGTAATAACATTGATTCGTGGAGGGAACAGGATACACAAAAACAAATCAGCCAATGGATGTGCATGATCCAACTTGGCAGAAGAGCCATTTTGCCTTCCAGGCAATCTGCTTCTTATGAGGAGTTTTGTCAGCACATAGAAGAATGTGTGCTGGAATACCAGATGGAGGACAGCAAACCATAACAACATGTGTTAAGACTTGTGTCTAGGTGTCCTCCAAGGCCCAGTGCACTCATAGATGGGGCTTGGGGGAATGGCTGGATCATGGGTGTGTGGTTCTGGATTAGTCCACTGATTGGTTTAGCATAGTTCTGGGTGTGGATAATAGGAAGTCCCACTATGGGTGTGGGTGACACCAGCCAATACGCTTTTAGCTTGGATGGAACGAAAGGGAAAGCAGAAGGAAGGCTGCTGTTGGCTACTTCCTCATGCCTGCCCTGCCATGGACTGTTTCTCCTCTGTGATGCCCATGGGCCATGATGCCCTGCCTTGGAACCAGCTGGCTATGGCCTGGAACTTCTACAAACTGTGAGTTAAAATAAATCTTTCCTCCTATAATTTATGTGTGTCAGGTGTTTTGTCCCAGCAATGAGACAGTAACAAAAGAAACCATGAAAATGTATCCAGATTCATTTCGCTTGCTTGCTCCTGTATCATTTGAATCATTCAATACAAACTTTATATCATGCCTGTAAAATAAAAAAAGGAAAGTTTCTACAACTCTACACTCTAAACAATTAACTCTGGCAGTACATTAGAACCTTTGTAAACGTCTAAAATTCTGGACAGTTGGATGTCAACTCAGAGACAAAGAATAAGTCTACAAATGTAAACCTATTTGTATGTGTGTTTTGGTTTGGTTTGGGTTGGTTTCAACTGCTCCACAATATTCCTGACAGACAGGGAGGTGGGGACCACTGGGTAGTGGTTTCATGTTCACATTTTGGAGCTGTTTGCCCACCTGTTGAGGCCCATGTGTGCTTGGGTTCTCGCTCCATGGCTTATCTCCTGAGCAACTTCAGATAAACAGGTTCATCTCTTCAAGTTACTTCATCTGGAAGGCAGGATAGCAGCAAGACTTAGCTCGCTTGTCACAGCATCATGAGATCATACAGCGACTCGTAAAGGTTAATATTAGTTCACCCTGCACCGACGCACATGCTGATGCTAGCATGTTCCTGACAAAATGATTGCAGTGTGCAGACGTGTTTCACCACGATGCCGAGCTCCACACTGTGTTCTACAGATCACAGAGTCTATTCTTGTACATTTTTATATTCACTAACCAAAGAGCAATGCTTGTGATGTGAAGTCACCTTAATGAAATGATGTCATGCCAGTGATGGCACGCGTATGAGCCATGCTGGGCAACTTTGCATTTGAGTCTGTTTTTAAATACTGGCAGAGAATTAACTCAAAGTAGTGATTCAATTCATGAAGGAGTGATGAACAGAAAAACTCATATGGCAAAAATTTTTTCTGCATTTTACAGCAGAAGTCTGAATTATTCGCATTCGTCTTCAGTTAATGTTGTCATCTTCATGGGCTTTAACTCCAACACGATTAGAAAGGTTCAGTAGGACGGCCCCACTGTGAATCTCATCTTGGTCTAGTATTAGCAGTGATTTGATCTCTCCAGGCCCCGGACTCCCATCTGTAAGGTGATGATGACATCTACTGCATAGAGCTGGCGTGGGTATTAAGTACATTGCTTAGCAGAGTGCTCAGACCGTGGTCTGGCACCTAAAGCACTACTGTAGTAAGTGGGACACTGACAGTCCACCAGCATTCACTATTTTTATTATTTATTCATTCCAACTATAGGCAAGTCCTGGCTGAGATATATATTATATATTATAAATATAATAACACACAGTACCACGTTGGATCACAAATGCTTCTTTTTTGTAAACAATTCAGTTAGCAAACCAAAGCATTTTGCAAAATTCTGCTTCTGTTCTCAAACTCCACATCGGGTGACAACACGATTATGGCCTCTTCCTCACAGGAATGTGAGTGCAGTCATCTTTCCCAGAGTTGTGGAACGAATTAAGTTCCTGAACTGCTGAGAGAGACAGGCAGGCAGACACGCAGAGGGAAAGTGTGAGTTGTAGACCAGAGCTAATGAAGCAAGCACAATTTTATTATTTAAGGAACTCTTGACATTCAGCTGGCAAAGGAGCAGGAGCTGTTTTGATTACAATCTTAGGCTGCAAGTTTAGGGTGAGTGTGATCCCCATAGAGAAATTGTGCCAGTTACAAAGCTAGAAGTCTTTTCCTTAAATGCTTTAACCCTAATCCACATTCCCATTGGCCCCAAGGTTCAGACCTGGGCAGGAGAAACATCGGGTAGGCAAGACCTCAGCCGCTCACCACACCCTGCGCCTGAGGCCTGGAGGGCTGGGCTGCAGAGAGGCTGCCACACAGGAGTGGAGACCTGGGAAAGGAAAACTCACCTGCTCTGTGCTCCCCTCCACCAGTCAAGCTGACAAATCAGCTTTCTGGTGCACAGGACAGGTGGAATACAAAGGATGAGTTGGATGTGTGGTGGTGCTTGCCTGTAACGCCATCACTCTGGAAGGCTGAGGCAGGAGGATAGAAAATTGGAGCCCAGCCTGGGCAACTTAGCCATTCAGAAAAACTCTGTCTCAACATAAAAAATTAAAAGGGGCCTATGGATGTATTTAGATCAACCCAAAGGTCCAGTGTTCAATCCCCTGTAAGACACACACACACACACACACACACACACACACACACACACACACACACACACACACACACACACACACACACACACACACACACACAAAATGGTGAAGAGCAAATTAATGCTACCAAGCACGGTGCATATTTGTGGAGTGTGTGATACTCAAAGACGGGACTAGAAGAGTTTCATATTCCAAGATCAGTGCAATCCAGACCTGGTTCTCCTGGCCCCTGTGGACTATGGGCAAGGTGCACCATGGACATTAATCATTAGAGACTTCATAGGCATGGGTACTAGGGTAAAGCGCTGTGGTGCCACTGGGAAAAGAGAATTTTTACAGAGATTTAAAGGATGGGAGGAAGTGGGGGTGTATGGAGACAAACATGTTAGGCAGAGAAACTACAAGGAAGGAAGAAATCTCAGGGTGCAGAGTGAAAGCTGCCAAGGTCTGAGTGGGGAGCACTGGTGAGAAGTGATACAGAGAACTTTTGTAAATAATCTAAAAATTTATAAAATGTCAGGAAAATGTAAAATGACTTCTGCTGTTTCTAACAACAATCTGCTTTGTTTAGTTCAAAATTTACAGACACCGGAGGCATTGGCCATGAAGCAGGACATCTGGCCTCATCCCCCATCTTGAACACCTGCTTTCTGTGCCATAGAAGAGATAGCTCAGCGAATCTTGAGGTAAACTCCCTAACTTTAAGGAACTGTTACATCTGGGTTAAACTGAACTGCCTTGTTACTGTAATTTTACATGGGCAATGTGAACTGAGGAAATGAAATGTAACCACCTGAATGAGATCATAGCTGTAAAACCTATTAAAAGAAGAAGCTGCAACCCAGTGGGAGGTCGATCACTGACACTGCTCTGAATGTGATCAGCCTTTTGCTGACAAAATAAACCTTTTATTATTTTACTTCTATTCTGCGTCTCTCTGTGAATTTCACTTGCCAATTCCTTCCGCAACAAAAGAACAGAGTTGCATCTGCCAGATGCACACTGTTCATCGTCACAGGCGGTTGGGCTATATGCTTTTGTAAGGAAGGACAGACTGGCTTTTAAAAGTAGGTCAATAATGTGCTAAGTGGATTGGGCAACATTAACCCGAAATACTTTCACATGGAAAGTGTTAGAGCAACACTGCAGTACAGATGCTGTCTTTGGAGTTAGATTGAGTGAAGAGTAACTGTCAAAATCTCCTTGTCTCTTCTGCATAAAAACCACAGAATTTATACTCTAAATTCTTATGAGTTCGATCTTCAGCTGGTGCAAGATCTCCTGCCCTCTATTGCTCAGGGCTCAGAGTAAGATCTTCACAGTTCCATCAAGGGAGTGAAAATATCGGGGAGGATTTTATTTTTACCTTAGTAGGGCCAAGGAGGTAGGGGCAGCACAGCAAGTTGTGCTGGAAACAGTCGTAGCTTTGGGTTAAAAGGCACAAACCGCTGATTCCAGTTCCCTGGACTATGTGGCCTGGGCAGAAAGTACCACATTTCCTGAGCCAGCCACTGATAAATGTAGTTTCTTTCTTTATGTGACATCAGTAGTTAACCCCCTTTTAAGCCATCTCAGAACATCAACAGCTAAAGTAAATTTTGTCAGTTTGTCAGATGGACAAACAGGAGCATGTGCATTTCCCCAGCACTGGTATCATGTGTCCAAGCATAGCCTTATTCCTCAGATCTGTTGGGCTTTGCTATAGAATGCTGAAGTGAAACGAAGCAAAACAAAACCACTTTTCCAAGTGTGAAATAAAAGCCTGAGAAAGCAGTCTGGGTGGCCGGGCCTCCAAGTGCTGGATTTCTGTGCACGTAAGCCTGGTTGTGTGTGCCGAGGGAGGGATGTTTTCCTAAGCTCGCAGTCTAATTAGTTTGCTAGCTCCTCTGTTCCTAGAGCTGGATGCAGACCTTTGGGAAGGGGTCACCGTCTGCCTGCCTCCGAGGCAGCTGGTGAGCAAACACGCCTCCCCGGGGAGGCTGGGACGAGCTAAGGACAATCTGAAATCGGGGAAATGAGGCCAACCGCTGAAATTAATCAGATGATCTCATGCCCTTTAGCTCATTGGCAAATTAAAGTGTGCTTTTATTTACAGTGATAAGGAAGAATTGTGCACACAGAGAGGTTGCGTTTAACACTACTGCTAAGCTAATCTTTCTATCACATAAGCGAATATTTAAAGAATACTTGATTCTTCAGCCTAACATTCTGCAGTTTAACTTCGTGTGATTACATGGACACCCGGCCCCTCAAAAGACGCTTCCTGTTCTCTCTGCACACCCCGCGCCCTCCGCCCCTCCTCCCTTCCGTGTTTGCCTGGCCGCCTTGCCAAATCTTTCCCTCTTTTCCTTCCCAGCTCCTCCTTAACATCCCCGTCGGTCCCCAGCAGAGAGCTGGCCACCCCTCTCTAACGTGGACCACCGCTGTGACCGCCGCAAACATCTTCTCGGCTTTTCTGATAGAACTGTTTAGAGCTTTTTCTTGACCTTCTTTTCCCATGATGGGGGGATTTTTTTCTTTTCTTGTCTTGTCTGCTTTTTCACTTCGAGCCCTGAAGAACTGTCATGGTCCTGCGCTGCAGCTCCGCACGGCACTGTGGCCGCAGAGACAGGCCTGTGCCGTGGTTCTCTCTGAGCGCTCGCCTCCCGGATATCCTTAGCATCCTTCCCGCTTCACAAGCGCATCTGCTGCGGAAGCTGCCACTCACTGCGGCAGCTCAAGGCCTCTGCTCGCGAGGCTGCGTCGCCCGGATGTTCCCGCCCGCCGGTGCTGCTCTCAGCCCAGAGCCGAGAATTTCCACACCTCCCATTCCAGACCCTCGCAGCCCTCCAGACCTGCGCTCTTTAGAGCAAACTGCTCTTCCCTCCCAGCATCCTTACTTTACCCAGAGGTCGGATCATGCTGGGGCCTCGGTTTCCCCCTCCACTGGGCCTCATTAATTGCTAAATTTGATGGATAAGGAAATCAAGGGTTAAAGAACGATACGGGGAGGGAGACCTGCTGAAGAATGGCCAGGCTGTCGGAGGGTCATCAAGGTCTCTTGCTGTTTGGTGTTGTTTTGTTTGTTTGTGTTTATGGTTCTGGGGTTAAACTCATTCCTTTTTAATATTTTTTTGTTTTTGCTTTTGAGTCAAGGTCTTGCTAAGTGGCCCAGGCTGGGCTTGCCCTTGGAATCATCCCACCTCAGCCTCCCAGCCCTGGAATTGCAGGTGCCACTGTGCCTGGTTATCAAGTTCCTAGACTCGAATTAAGGATTCTTTTCACCGGTTGGCTTGCCTTCGCATGAAGACAACTTACTGTACTGATGAAAAATTTCTAACCCCAGAAAGTCTGATGAATAGTATTTACCTGAATACCAGCATTAACTTCAACACACTGAAAGGGTCAGTTCCACTGACCAAGACATTAATTACTACACCAAAAAAGCCTGTTTTAAAAATATTCCCTATCAAATTCACAGAGAAAAGATAGATTTTACTTTTAAAAATTGGCTTTCCGGCCTTCCGTGTGTGTCTGAGAGACTGTGAAAGGGGAATTTGGAGGCGTCCGGGTCCTGGCAGATATCTCCTGAGGGCGTCTCACCTCCCAGGGACACACGACCCCCTCCTGTCCCTGAGGCTGGCACCTCCTGCCCTGCTCTCGGCCACCCTCAGCCCAGGTGAGGCATGGACTGGGCGAGCTGTCCAGCAGACAGAGCGCACACTGCAGGGCCAGGAAGAGCCCAGGGGACCAAGGTTGCCAGGCAGTCATGGTCCGGGAAGGGATCGCCCTGTCTGGCCTTGCCATGGGCCCTGCGTGGCCGTGGCTTCTCCCTGGGCTTCTGTGTTGGGTCGTGACCTCCTGTACCAGGGACTCCTGTGCTCATACCTGCTGCCCGCTGGTGGATCCAGTGGCCACCTCACTTCTTCTCCCAGACCAGCAGCTCACTGGTTTCCTTCCCAAGGTCCCAGCCCCGTCTGGGCCGCTCCCCAAGGATGAGGCTCATGGCTCCTCCCGTCAGAGACCTGCTTCCCCACGGCAGCACCAGGCACTGGGCAGCTCCGGTCCTGTTCAGCCCCTCATCTCATCACATGGGACGAGCAGCCCTGTGGTATGGCCTTTGTGACCATAGTAACATCCAGCATCTACACAGCATCTGCCCTCCGGACCCTGTGTCAGGCACCAGTATCCATATTTTCCTACTTTTCATGAAGGGAAATGAGGCCTGGAGAGTTTAATAACTTACTCGTGTCATTTATGTGGAGGTGGCTCCATGGAGCTGAGGCTGAAGCTGTTCATGAGTGAACCCACTGAGCCATCTCTCCGGGCTGCGGTTCGCACATGGCCCCCAGTTCCTGCCTGGCTGAAAGTGTAACTTCCCAAGGCAGGTGTCCCGGACTTGAGAGCCCCGGGCTCAGCCCCTGCTGTGGGGTGTGTGGGATCCTCCCCTCCCTGCCAAATTCGCTTGCTGCAGTCCTGATCCCCAGGGCCTCAGAATGTGGCTGTATTTGGAGCAGGGCTTTTAAAGAGTTGAGTTGGTTCAAACAAGGCTGTTAGAGTGGTCCCTACTGCCATTTGACCAGCCATCCTCATAAGAAAGTAGGTCAAAATGACACCCCAGACCACAGGCCCAGAGCAGAGCCAGGCGAGGACACAGGGAGCAGGCGCCTCTCTGGAAACCACACCTGCCACCCCGAGGCTGCTGCTGTCTTCTGGAACTGTGACAAAGTGAGCGTCTGCTCTTTAAGTGATCAGGTATGGTGACAGTAACACTGGACATTAGTACCCTGATTGGATGACTGAATAAGAACAGAGATCTCGGGGGAGGCATAAACTACTCAAGGTGCCCTTTAGAAGCATTTGAAAGGGTTTTCCTCAACTGGTAGCCAAACAGAAAAGGGGATCTGACAGGAGAAGGCTGTGATGCTGGATGGTCAGTGCCCAACTGTGGGAAGCCTCTAGAAAGCAGAGGGATCTGGCCGACAGCCAGCCAACAGCATGGAACTCCAGTCCAAGGAACTCAAGAAACCAGATTCTGCCAATAACCAGGAAGAGCTCAGAAGTGGATTTTTCCCCAGAGCCTCCAGCTACAAGAGCCTTGTCCAAAGGACACCTTGATTTGAACTTTGATTCCAGGAGAGCCCAGGCAGACTTCTAACCTACTGCCCCATGAGACAAGCCAAGCACAGATGCTGCTTTATGCATGAATTCAACTTTCACAAACTCAACCAAATGTGGGTTGAACATATTCACATCTGTACTGAGCATTACAGACCTTGTACTTCCCTTATTCCCTAAATGATCCAGTATAACAGATGATTACATGGCACGAAAGTCCCCTGGAGATTATTGAAGTGTGAGGAGGATATGCACAGGTTGAACACACACCCTCCTCCACTTTGTGGAAAGGACCCACAGATTTTGGCACCCTGGGACCCCTCAGGTCAATCTCTATGGATTCTGAGGGGCTTCTGTAGTTTGAAACTTCTGTTCAGGGTAATTTGTTACACAGCCATTAGCACAGAATGGTGTGCACAACAAACAGCATTGCACTCTCTCTTCAGCTGTCACTGTTCTGTGTGCTTGATGTAAAATAAAAACCTCCACAGTGACAAGACCACATGTTGCCATGGAGCTGTTGTCCTGAGGCAAGAAGGAGAAATTCAGCTGGGCGTGGTGGCGCACGCCTGTAATCCCAGCACTCGGGAGGCTGAGGCAGGAGGATCGCTGTGAGTTCCAGACCAGCCTGGGCTACATAGTGAGTTCCAGGTCAGTCTCAACTACATAGTGAGACCCTGTCTCAAAAAACAAAAAACAAAAAACAAAAAAAAAAGAGAAATTGAGAAGGCTGAGGGGCAAGGGCCGCTGAAGACAGGCCACAACCAGAGCACCCTCCAAGAGAAAGCAGAACCAGTAAGACAGACAGCTGGGAATTAAAATAAAAATCTTTACAAAGAAAGGGAGGAGCACTGGGGACACGAAGCAGGACCAAGCAGTTGTGAAGAAAAATCTCTCAGCATTGGGGGAAAAATACATAACTGTTGAAAAACAAATAGTAATGGCGAGGTAGACCACGCGCGCTGGGACTGTCGTGTCCGCGCTGGGTCTGTCATGGCCTGGAGTGACACTTTGCCGCGCCTGTGACATTGAATTTCTACGCGCACGGGAATCACTGTCAGAAGGTGAAAAAAGACTATTTAAGGAGCATAATCTGAATTTTCTCAGAAGATAATTTTTTAAGAATGGGAATTCTTTTTAAGTTATTTTTAAATTGGGGGTTGGGGTGGCAATTTTATACATGCTCAGAACACCCTTGACCGGGAGTCCCTGACTCCCCTCTCTTCCCCTCCCCTGCTACTGACCCCATCCTCTTGCCCAGCCCTCTCCTGTCTACGCCCTGTCACCTCCCCCCACCACGAGTTTCCACAGATTAGGGAAAGCATGCAATATTTGTCTTCCTGAGTCTGGTTCATCCAGCTTAACATGATGCCCTCCAGCTCTACTCATAGGAATCAAAAAGCATGTATTTTCCCTCTCCAAATATTCCACTGTATTATCGAGGCTAAAACCACCTATCAGGTACCTGGGGGAAACTTCCTGATAAACCTTTATCTTAGTGGAGATGGGGGGGAGTCGGGGGGAGATTCACCTCAACTTCTCAGATGGGGCAGATCAGTCAGGCTGCAGGGCTCCCCTGAAAGAGTGACTTGAGAGGGTCAGTCCCCCACCAGCTTCTGGGCTCTGTCCACCCCCTCTCCACCCACCCAGTGCCCAGGGCTGTTCCTGTGGTTGGCAGGCAGGCTTCAGGACACTGGCAGTAGCATGTATCCAGGGCCACAGTGAACAGGGGACCGGAGGACGGTGAGTGGGTGTGTGACAGGCGTCAGAAGCCTTGAGCTTGTTTCAGAGCCAGCCTGCTTGGGCAAAATGAACCCAGGCAGGAATCAGTGTGGGAGGGAGGCCAAAGTGAAAGCACCTAGTGGGCCACCGAGTAGGTGGCTGGAGAAGGCCGCCCACGGAGGGCACAGACCAGGGTACTTCTTCACAGACAGGGGAGGCTGTCCAGGACGGAGAGATGAGAACTTGGCTCTCAAGCCACACAGCACAGCTTCGTCGTGTGAACCTCAGGCTCCTATCCTGCCTAGAAGTGACGGCTGTCCCCTGTGTTTAGATTTTCCATTATGACTCTCCAATTTCATTTGGAAGTCTAGGAATGTTTGTCCCCTCTTGGGTGCCTGTTGTCCCCAGGTAGTACAAATCCACTGTTCTGACCTGGACTCAAGCCTGCTGTGCTGGCAGGTTGGGTCCAAGACCCAAAATGACATGGAGCATCCGGGAACAATAGGACTGTCACACTGCCAGTCACAGAGGCCAGGGAGGCAAGGCATCACTGTACATACACTCTGGGAATCCTAAAAGTGGGCATTCAGAGCAAAGCAAATCACTACTTTTTGCAGAGCAGCTATGTAAGAACTACTGGTAGAATTTGTATGGGTCATGGCTCAATACAAGAAGAAATTCATGAAAAATTTGAGGAAGCTGAGGTATGAAAACTCTGCAATAGATTACTAACTGAAATCAAAGAGTATTCTTGGTGCTACATAGAGTTAATATCCTGAAGGACATTGACGCTGGACTTCTGTTGACTTTGTGCAGGGTGGGGTTCATCTGAGTCCCCATTTCCCCTTCTAAGAGCAGCTTACACATTTAGGGGAATGGTTTCTTCTAGCTGTAAGCAGTCCTGATGGTCTGAGGATCAGACAATCACAACCTCTGCCTTTTTCTAGCCAAAGAATCTTAGTTGGGCCCAAAGGAATCACTCTCTCTTGTGGGACTTTCTCAGCAAACTAAATGAAGTTGAGAAAAACAACTTCTGGAGATTTTATTCTGATGTAGACTCCAAAGTGTGTCCTGTGCTTACTTATCTCAGAGCTACTCTATGTCATTCGAGCCCTTTGCCTGGTCCCACCTGGCTCTCTCACAGCTTGTCTACTTTGCAGGGTTACCACTGCGAAACTCTTCTTGCTTCTCCAGAGTTGCAGCAAACGAATCTCAACAATGTGCCATAGAGGCCTGGCCATGTGAGCCACTCAGTCGGGGACCCGACCAAGCTGAGGTCAGGAGTCTGACCCGCTCTTCCACTGATTCTTGCTGTGATGCTGGGACACTTGCTCACCTCAGCATCCTGACCTGTAGAAAGCAAAGCAACCCTCCCCAAAGCCTCTTTCCAGGTGTTGTTGGAATTAAGCATTGATTAAAAGGCTCCTGGCGAACCTGGGAAGAAACCTGTGCCCTTCACCATCCAGGGGCCCATTAATTAAACAATGGGTGGTTTGGCCAAAGGTGCCAAGTTGGACTTTTAGACAGTCAAAGATTCGGTAATAAAACTTACATTTCGTCATCAGATGCATGTCCCCCTTATTACTATTGCCAAAGGGCAAGCCTACAACAACATAAAGATCTTAGTTGGCTTTTTTATTCTAGAAGCAGGCAACAATCTTTCATTGTGTAAAGCAGAATAAGCATTCCCAAGATCCAAGCAGAAGAGATTGGTTTTATAGACAGAAAAGGCTGAAAAAAAGCAAAAACAAACAGCAGACTGGCCATCTCAAATGCATTTCCTTGTAAAGTCAGACCAGGGTGACCTTATAAAAATAACTGAGCAGCTAACTTCCGGGTTATTTCAGGTTACTTTTTTGTATAAGGATCAAGGCAAAGGAAATTTTCTTGGGGCATCTATCTGGAAAATTTGGTGTTATTGCTCCAATCCTAATGTCTAGAAAGTTCAGGTAACTGCTGAGTTTCATCTTTATGCCTAAGCTCAAGTGATTTCACTTTTATTTTTAGTTCTGCCTTTTCAGGACCCATGCAGTAGTCTAGCTCCAAATTGTGGCCTCATAACACTTATCTAACGCTGTGTTAGTCCCAGTCAGAATTATCTATTCACGGATGAATTCATTCTGACAATATTTTTTTGTTGGCAACAAAAGTGATAAAAGTTCCTATATGAATATTTAAGAAAGTAACTTGCTGTGGAGTTACATCCTGTTTGTATACTTATTACTTCAATTCCTGACAGGCTGGCACTGGTTACAATAAAGTGAAAATCATTTGCTGCTTTACATAGATGTTAGCTTTCCATTTCAAACAGGGAATGGATGACATCAGCTCAGGAGGGAAAGAAATGCTGTCTTGAGTAACACCAGATACAACTGGCCTTTTCTTGGAACATTCGGCTTGGCAAGTGGAGGCTGTGTCTTCCCTGTCTCCCCACTACACCTGAGCCCCTCCATAGTGGGGCTGTCACGCTGCCCACGAACTCTGAGCAGAACTGTGGCAGCAAGGAAAACAAGTCGACTTCCTTCTGATCACTGCTGTGTAACAGAAGGTCCCAAGACTTTTTACTGGTGAACGCTGTTTTCTTCTGTTGTCGTTATATAAGTTTGCAATACATTCATTCGGGGGAATTGGTAAGTACATATGCTGCGCCTTGGTCATTTCCCCAGACCTCCTTCTCATCTCCAGAAAGTGCAGTGACACATCTGAGCTCAGGGGACACCGCTGCCCCGTGTTTACAGCAACTCGACTCACAGTAGGAAAGTTAGGGAAGCCACCTATAAGCCCATCACAGATAAATGGATGAACTCACACAGTACCAGCACTCGGCCATAAAAGGATGAAGCTGAGTCATCTGTGGGAAAATAGAGAAATCTTGAGATTGTAATGTTAAGCGAAACAAACTGACACCGAGGTTAAATATTGTGTGCTTTCTCTTACACGTGAATCCTAAAATGTAGATTAAGAGCAAAATAAAGAAGAGATGGTAGGAAGTGGGCAGTGTTTTTAGAATGAAAGAATGAAGTACCCGTAATGGGTCCATCTCAACCAGATAATGTGGAGTCCAGGGAGGCCAGTCATGGGGAGCACAGCCTTCACCACTGCACAGAGTCATAGCAGGTTGTTAACATGCAGTGCCCAAACAGCCCTCCAATGATTGCAATGTTGTCTCACTTTACAAAGTAGGACTCTGCTGTTCAGTTGCAAACTGATTTAAGTGAGGTTAAATAAATACTGGTGAGCAAAACTGGAGCTCGAACACAGTTCTCTTTTGTAGTGTGTGTTTGTGGCATTTCCACACAGTGCAGCAATACTCTGCCACCCAGATAACACTGAGGCATTTGTAGGTGAGTGGGTGAATTCAAACACAGTTTCTGCATTCATTAATGTAAATGACTACTCTTTCCAGCACAGATTAATCACCTTCCATTATATTGTTTCTATTATAATTTCAGAAATATATTCATAAAATATATAGTTCCAAATATAGCTCCAAAAATCATACTAGCCACCAGGAAGGAGACCATTCATGTCCCAAGCACTCAAATCTTTTTTTTTTTTGTCCCGAATAAGATAGAAAATGCAAGGATAGCTGCTGTTATGATTTAGAGCTAAAATGTTTCCCAAAGTCCCTTGTATCAAGGTGGGGCTCATTGGTGGATGAATCCAGTGTGAGTTCATAGCTGAAAGTGCTTCTTAGATGTGGGGCTGGGTTGGAAGGGGTGGTTCATGAAAGCCTGATCTGAGAGGGTGCGTTCCATCCTTACCTCCTCCACAGTCTCTGTCTCCTCCCTGGCTGCTGGGACAGGAGTGGATCTCCTCCACCAGACCCTTCCATCCTGCAGTTTCTGCCCTGGAGCCAGCTACCCACAGACCGAGTCCACTGAAGCTGTGAGCTAAGTAAACTCCTCTCCTTTAAGTTGCAGGGGTCAGGTTATGTCCCTCCAGGAAAGCTGGCTAATAAAAATCCCTTAAACGATTTTATCCCATTGTTCTAAATACATGATTTAAAAAATATTTTTCATGTTCTGGGCAATTATCCAAGGTATTTACTAGAGGCACAGAACTAAATCAAATTCATTGAGGGCTTGAAATGTAGCATACCAAAGCTGAAAGAGATCCTAAAATTGCCTAACGTGATTCTTTTATTTTCAGTGGAGGATTCTGCAGAAAAATTATCAACCTGACAAAGAAAACCCAGTCTGAGGACCCAAAGATACTCTTTATTAAATCTATTTCTAAGAGCTTATCTTTTTCGATGGTATTGTTACTGTGTCCTTCATATTTTCTGTTGTGGAAGCTGTTTCTTCTATAATAATTGGCCTGTTAGAGTTCATTTATTTTCCAGTGTCCATTTTGCAAAAGTTATAAAAAAGTATTAAGTGCCTGATAAACCAAAAGCAGAAGTCTGGGTCCTCGCCTGCTACAAACAACCACACAGCCCTCTCCAGCAGCCCTTCTCCGTCTTCACCCAGGCCACCACCGCCCAGAGCTCACCTTCAGCCTCCCATCTTACTTTTCTCGATATGTTTATTTTGGTCTCTTATACTTCAGTGTGAGTTTATTTGTTTTTCGATCACTCCCACCTTGAGAATTGGTCCGCATAGTAAAGTGTCTTTGCTTACTCTCTCTGCCCTCCCCGTGCCCCTTCCTTCTACTTGCTCTATTTCCTGCCATCTCTTCTTTATGCTGCCCTTTGAATTATTTATACTCTGAATTATTTAAATTATTTATACGTGAGTTTCTTGTGTGAGAAAAAGTACACATTTCTCCTTCTGTGTCTAATTTATTTTACTTAACATTATGGTCTCAAAGTGAATCTCTTCCTACAAATGACTCAGATTTACCCCTCTGTGTGATGTCTTCTTATCTGTCTGTCTGTTGATGGTCATGTAGGCTGCTTCATGATTTGGCTCCTGAGAACTGTACCACATAAACAGGGGACTGCAGGGACCACAGTAACCTCCCTGTACTTTCTAAAACTGTGTGTGCATGTCCAGAAATAAATCATTTACATTAAGAATATTCACTTTTCAGTGCTTCACTTTTTTGTCTGTCTCTTTTCTTCCCCTACTCCCTATCAGGCCATGTTCCAGTAAGAACTGACTTTCTGCCTTTCTCTCCAGGGATCCCCACAGAACTGGATCTTCCTGGGCTTCCATTTCAGAACTGTTACGCCTCACCTCACTGAGCAGGTGCTATTTATGGAGATTTCTAACCTCTTCCTCTTAATCACGTCATCTTAACTGCTTGTGTACTTAGATATTGTTCTTTGAATTCACAATTTTGAAGTTGCTAAACATTTACTACGATGAAACCAAGGTCAGCTTGGTAAAGATGGACAGTAGAGATAACTGCTAAATTGGCAGAGGAGCCACGGTGGGGAGGACCAGGATGTGGGCTCTGACAGGGGAGAGAATTATATTTTTATCTTGTCTGAGCCACATATTGGAAAGTTGCCTCCAGAAATATTCTGTGATCAAGGTATGAGATTACTGATCTCAATCCCTCTTGACACTATTAGAAGTTATTTATCCTTTAAGCCTTTGATGATATTGATGGAGAGAACTTTTGTAATAATCAAAAAAGCTACAAAATATTAGGAAAAGTAGAATAACTTCTGCCATCTCTAACAGCAATGTGCTTTGTTTAGTTCAAAATTAACAGACAACAGAGGCATTGACCTTGAAATGGGATATCTGGCCTTATCCCTGACCTTGAACACCCCTTCCTGTGCACTAGAATAGATAGCTAGATGAATCTTAAGGTAAACTCCCCAACCACAAGGAATTGTTACATCTGGGTTAAAGTGAACTGTCTTGTTACTGTAATCTGTACATGGGCAATGTGAACTGAGAAAATTAAATGTAACCACCTGAATGAGACCATAGCCATAAAACCTATAAAAAAAGTTGCAACTCAGTATGGGGTCGATCACTGACACTGCTTTTAGTGTGATCAACCTTTGCTGGCAAAATAAACTTTTTATTATTTTATTTCCATTCAGCTCCTCTCTACGTGTATGTCATTTAAGCCAATTTCTTCCACAACAATATGAGAATGTAAAACTGTATCTTTGTTGTTTTTATTTGCATGTCTTTAGTGCTAAGGGTGGTGAAAACAGTCTCAAGGACTAGCTAAATATTTGTATGATTCTGTGAGTTCATTAGTTGCCCAATCATGTCTTTTGTTGTCTTGCTTGCTTGCTTTCAAAGCACATATGGCTGAAGAGTGTGTGGAATAAATGTACAAATAATAAGCCCTGAGACTACTATAGCCAGATGGGTAGGAGAGAATATTGCAGTCAGTCAGACAGGGCTGGGTCCTTGGAGTCAGGACAAAGGTGAAACATGACTCAGTGACAGAGATAGAGTGGCTGAAAACTAGGCCTCAAGATAAAGACAAGATGATCAGACCTGCATATTTTTTCAAAGGACAAATGCTGGGCCTAATGAAGTCCAGACAGACATCGGCTACCCCTGTGGTGACCAGAGACCTCTGGATCCACCACTTCCTGGGAGAATCTTTGTTCTTTCTATCCATGCTTGTTATATGACTTGCTTCCCAACTGGACACCATTGCTAAGTGACCACACTTGTAACCTACTGGATGATCATGGCTGTGGCCCACATTGTACACACATGGGTTTCACCCCATAAAACTCCACTGCAAAGTGGGGTTCCCTGGGCTCAGGTCCCTCTCTTACCCCTCAGGAGATTTCTTATTAATATTTCCCTACTCTTAACCTCTGTTGTCCCTAGGACTCATTCTTCAATTTCTAGAGAACAAAAACTCAGTGTATCATGCACTTAACAAGTTGGGAGGTATAATGTTTTATATTTCATCTCTGGCATTTTTTACAAGACTACTATACTATTGAACCTATGAGACCTGACTCCCCCTACAGAGCTCTGCCCGTATTTGAACAACATGGTGATGCACTGAACACCACTGACTTGATCACATTAAAATGGTTAATTGTATGTTGTGTGAAATTCACTTCAGCTTATTTTTTAAGCAAGATAAAATCATTGCTTCTTTCAATGGGTTATTTTCCAACTTCAAAGATACAAAAAAATGTATGGTACTCTATCACATTTCAAAATGAGATAGAGAAAAGCAGTTTATCACTTCATTACTTTAATATGCTACTAACAAACAGTTTAAATTTAAACAATAATGTTTTTATAAAAGTACAGTGGAGGCCAGGGATTTACCTCAGTGGTTCTGCCACCTGCCTTGCAAGCACAGGTTCTGAGTTTGATCCCTGGTACCCATCCCCCCAAAAAAGTACAGTGGTACATGAAAAATTCTAACAAATAATAATACAAGTTGACACATTCCTTGCCACTGTAGTCACACTCCCTAGAGATAAGAACTATTTTTAAAGGTTTTGGAAATAACTTGTAGGTTTACAGAGAATATGCATAACCACATAATCCTGC